CAGCAGTGAGGGCTGGTTGATGATGAGTAGTGTGCGGGCAGCATGGAGGCGTGCAGCCCAAGTGCAGGGTCAGCAGGGTCATTGCAATGTGGGTACAGGCAACCGTTCAGGGAAGCAGACTCGAACGAAGAGGTCTGATCCGCGAGGCACAGGCTTGTCTGTGCGAGGAGCGTGGTGTCTGTCGGCACTTGTCTTCAGATCACCGGTCAGGTCACCCACTGGTGTGTGCGTCCCGTCGCGGCGGATTTTCACAGCCACGACTCCACAGATCAGCGCTACAGGAGGTCGGACAAATCTTCCCCATGTAGCATATGGATCACATGACAAGGCAGCAGTGTGAACAACAGCACTTGCCTTCAGTCCGCTCGAGCAGGCTGCTTTTCTCTTCAAGCCCCCCGCTGTGCATGCGGCCTGCCACCAGCGAGTCACAGCACATGCATCAGCGCCTGTGCGTGAGGCGTACAGTAAGATTACAGAAGCCCTTGACACCACACACCAAGCCTTCCAGGCGTGCAAACCTGGCGAGAAGGGTCGCTCAGTATGAAAATGGCTTGCGCAGATGATGACATATGCCCAAGCTAGATAAAATCTCACACTCGGCGTGTCGCGATGTGCAGCCAATCCCGCCCAAAAAACATTGCAGCTGTGCCCCATGCGCCCGACGCCACGCGTGCGTGTTGCGTGCGCACAGGGCAGCGGCTTGAGACCCGCAGGCGAAGTGATCCATGGCTAGGCCCCGAGGCTGCTGGCATCCGGCATGCCGCCTCTCGATATGTGCACGCGTGGCATGGTTGGCGGAAAAAAGCATCCTGCTGGAGGGTAATGGCCTGCCGTGTCCCAAGCTGGGGGGGGGGGTGGGGCCAGCAATCGCATGTCTTGAAAAGCGCAATGACATCATGGGCACTGCTGGGGCCGGCCACGCAGCACACGTAACGAGCGCCGCCGCAATGCAGGACTTGCTTACAGGCCACAAATGGATGGCAGCAAAGTCACTAGCGCCGCCGGCAGCCGTACCCAACAGTGCTCTTGAGTTCGACGCACGCTGCTCACGCATCATAAGTGGGGCTCGGCAGGCCGCCCATTGATTACGGCACTGGCCGGCGCAAGCGCCTCCCGTCGCTACATGGCTCGTTGCAGGCGATGATTGCTCCCCAGGGACGGCTATCCTTGAGATGTACGTACGCGCGAGGCCCATGCAAATCAAAGCTGCAAAGGCCAAAGTCAACTGCCTCTGCCGGCTTCAAGTAAGGGGTGGGATTACGTAGGCACCCGCTCGCAGCCCTCTCGACCTGCGGACGGCGTCCAAGCCCTTGCGGCAGACAAGCCGCATGCCGCCGCCCCCTCATCAGATGCGGTTGAAGACGGGCGTGCAGCCGGCGGCCAGCACCTTCTTGGAGGGCTTGCCCCTGAAGACGCGCACGCCGTTGGTCGTGATGTTGGCTCCGGTCAGCACGCCGTTGGCGCTGATGGCACTGAGGGTCACCACAATGGGCTGGGGGTTCTTCTGGAAGTTCTTCCTGCAAACGGGAAGTGGAGCGTCATGAGGGGCGCTGAGAGGTGCAGGAGGCAAGACGGATGTAAAGCTGCCCTTGCCTTGTCAAGGCGGCCGCTGCCCTCACTCCGCGCAACCCCAGGAGAGAGGCGTGCACGCATGGTGCATAGGGTGTAGGCCGTCAAAACGCGCTGCTTGCACCGCACAACACTAACAGGAAAGGTGAGGTATCTCGTGTGGCAGCGCGAATGTGCTCGGCGCAGCTGCGGCGACAACACCCCTGGACTGGCTGTGAAATCTGCTGCACGCGTGCACGCAGACACAGATGCACACACAAAACATGCTGGTGGGCTGCAACCCTTCTGATCCCAAGTATCAGACCCACACCACGCTTGGCTTCTCTCCAGCGCCCGCCCCCTCATAAAAGCCCCCTACAAATACCCAAGCTCACTTGAGGAGATCGACCGACGACGGCTGCGTCGGGCGCGTCGGGTTGCCGGCGATAAACGAGGGCAGGCACAGGCGCCTCTTCCTGGACTTGTTCTTGAACTCCGGGGTGCAGGCGATCGCCACGACCCCGCTGCCCTTGCACGAGGCCCCGCCGAGCGCGCCGGCCAGGAGGCTGACCGGGATGTCGATGTTGGTGAACTTTGTGGTGTTCAGGAAGAAGCAGGTCGTGTTGGACAGGCTGGGGAGGGTGTAGGCGGTGTCGTCCAGCACGGTAATGGTGCAGGCCGTCGATTTTTCCGAGAGGCCGTTGGGGTACTGGACCTGAGGATTTGACGCGGCAGGGAGGGGGCCGGAGGTGCGATGCGCGTTAGTGTAGCAGGCTGCACGACGCAGCAGCAAGCGCGCCCTCCACAAGTTTTAGGGTTGGGGTCATTTAGGGGTGCCTGATGCAAGTTGACGACCTTGTCCAGCCGTGGCCTTATGGACCAGCTGTTGTGTTGACAAACAACCCTTCGCTTGCCGGTGCATCTCAGCTGCCCAATGGCAGAGTGCACAGAGCCTGCAGCCCCCGTGACAGACGGCGCGCGACGGCTAGGCGGCGCGGCAGACATACAACCCCAGCCAGTGGGCCGCCCGGCACACACCTGCCCCTGCACGCTGAAGGAGCCCGGGCCGTAAGACTGCGGCGCGGGGAGGCTGGTCCCGTTGGGTGCAGTCAGCACCGCGGTGGTGGCAGTGGAGCCGAGGGAGGCGGTGTCGAAAAACCCGTTGGCTGAGGTGTCAAAGATGTTGGCGCCGATGCTGACGGTGCAGGCGGATGAGGGAGAGGTCGCAGTGACGCTGACCGTGATGTCTTTGCAGACCTGCAGCGTGTTTGGTTGAGGTTTTGATCGTCAGTTTTTGGTTTTTGAGGGGCAGAGGATTAGGGGACAGCATTGCGGATGTGCAAGTGGAATACTGCACAGTGGAACGTGGTACGCAGGGGACGCCGTCTGGCACGCCGCCTGAAATCTCCGTTGGAGTGGTGGGCTTCAACATTTGGTGGCGGGCATGGGAGGATGGCAGCTAAAGAATCGTCAAAGCGCACCGTCCACGGCGCTGTGCAAGCGACGCTCGCATTCATCCGGCCCCACACACGCCGCCCCAAGGGCAACAACGGGCGCCCTCATTTTGCCACCGCATGATTGAACATGCCTTGCATGCTCAGACAGCAAATGCAAGGCCACACCGCCGCTTCCAGTGTGCCCCGCTATCAGCACACTGTAAGCGGCGTGGCTGTGTGCGGAGGGACGGTGGCGAGGCCGCGCCCATGCGTGCTCGTGGATGCTGCAATGGATTTGTTGGGGTGAAGCGGGACGCCCGCAAATTCCCCTTCCCAATAACACAGTGTCAAGTACACCTCAGGGTTCGCACCGGGGTGCAGGGAGTGATGATGGCGGTTCCAGAGCAGGTTGAGCCATCGCTGCCAGTCGCGGTGAACGCGTAGTCCGTGCCTGGAGACGCGGGTGTGTGGAGTGCAGCGCAGTGCTTTGGGTGTCAGCAATGGTGAAGTGCGCAGCCCAGAGCAATCGCCGATGCACTCGGGGCAGGCATCACGCACTGCAGGCCCTTGGGAGGCCATCCCAGAGCCGGTGCACCTCATGGTGGCAGGGCGGAGGTGCGGAGCAAAGCCAGGCACAATCCAAGGTTCGGTGCGGCAGCAGGGTTTTTTGGGGTGAGGTGCCTCTGTGGAGAGTGGGGCGCCCAGCCCGCCGCTGGCAGTTTTGTAGGCAGGCTTCAGGCAGGCCGAATGTGCTCGAGGACGGGCCGGTGCATTCGAGCGCAGCAGGGGTGAGCAATGATTGTGCTGCAAGCGCGCATTGGTGCTGCCTTTGCACACTGGGTATGATGCCGTAGTGGCCCTGCTTAACATATGCTGGGCCCAGGAGGGGAACGCACCGGCCAGGAAGTCAAACACTCCTGCACCGCCCGAAGTCGGCTGCGGGCCGGTGAAGACCACTGTGGTGACGGTCGTCCCGTTGGTAGCGATGACGAGCTGGGCCTGTGTCGGTTGTCAAGCGCCCCGGCAAGAACAGATGTGTTGGAGTGTGGTGATTCATGGAGTTGGGTATTGCAGGTTCAGGCTCAGCGAGGCGGCTGTTGCTTGGGCTGACAGGCAGGCGGGTGTAGGGCGCTCGCTTGCGGGGAAGCGTGATTGGGCAGGCGCGCAAAGCACGCCCAGCTGCAGGTGGGGGCGGCAGCCGCCGCGAAGGGTGCGCATGCTGGTGCGGTTCTATGTTTAGATGTGGTGCGGCGCCCACCTGGGTGGCGGTGGTGGATGTGCAGCCACCAGCGGACCCCTGGGCAAGGGTGGCGGTGAATGGCTGGCAGTCGAGGGCGGCGCGCGCCGGGAGCACGCACGCGGCTACCAGCACAGTGACGGCAAGCGCCACGCGGCTCATGGTTGGATTCATTGGAGATGCAGCCGTGCAATCTGCGCGAAATGGCGTGAGAGCGCGCGTTGTTCGGGGGTCGGAAATTGGTCAAGGGGTCCGGAAAGTGATAATGACGGCCGACATTGACTCGCAGCTGCTGTGTAGATATCAAATCAAGGCGTTATTATGAGTGGCATGAGCGAAGGCTGCATGCACCCGACTTCAGGTCACCCGCGACGGTCCGGCCGTTGTGACCTGTTCGTTCTCAGTTTGACAGTGCTGTCAAATAATAAAATAGCATGTATCCAAGCTATAAACACACTTCTGCGCGGCAACTCACGTCGAGTGGCAGCCTCAGACGCTCGGCCCGTCCACCTACGGCGATGACGCAAGTAGACTGGTAGCGCCTTACAATGCTTCAATTCCGACGCACAAATGATCGCGATGTATGTGTGTGCGAACGCAATGTGAATTGATGGGGTCACCAGGGTGTTGTGGTAACAGTTGACTGCTGTGTGATGGCTCGCCAGACAGATCCATTAGCTAAGTACAACGGCAGACACGAAAATTATACACAGCGTGCTTCAGCGGAATTTCGTCTTTACATCGGGATCACACGGATCCAAAGTTTCTGCCAGGAACTATGAGAAGGAACTTTGGGTGCGGTGCCCTCGCCACCTGCCAGGGACAAAACCAGGCCCTTGGTCGAGGGGCTTGCGCACTTAAATGCCGCATCAAAGCAGCAGAGAAATTTGACGACAAGCCAATGGGTTTCTAGGCATACTGATCGTTGCAGGGACCCCCTGACATGAGCTGGTGCAGCGCTTGGCCTGCGTGTGAGCTTCCTAGTGGGCCCCACCCCATGCACTGGCTCCCTGGGCTGTGTGTCCTCCGACCGTTCTGGCGGGTTAGAGCATGCTCCACATCGCGCACCAGATTTGTGACATTCGCCACAGAAAACATTCGAACAAAGGACACCTGCCAACTCCCGTTGGCCGACGAGTGACGGTGGGCGACGCGCAGCTCACTCATCCCTTCGAAAATATATTCACGATAGAGAATCCATTATCTACATCCTTATTGCGCGTGGCACGCGACCGGGGCCCAAACGTGAACGGGTACGTTATCATAAAAGGCGAGGCGAGTGACCTGGTGAAGCCCGTCGCGAAGGGCGGTTTGCTCATTGATTTTGAAATCAGGAGGCCCAATTGGCGTTGTAGCCCTGCAGCGCTGCGCTGCGGCCGAGTGCTGCCTGCTGTGAGTGTGTGCCTCTGAAGCCATCAGCCTGTGTGTTACACTGCTATCTTGATCCGGCACGCACCAGCGCCCCCTGCCACGGACCTAGAAAAGCATATGCTGTGCCAAGCCTGTGTGCGCTCCTGCACCGCCTGCTGCAACTGCGCAGCTGCCGGCAAAGGAGCTGTGCCTGCGGGCTGGCCTTGGCACAGCTTTGCAGAACTATGTTCCTGCTGCCCACTAGCTGAATGGGACGTAGTGGTGCGTGTGCCGCCGCCGCCGCCGCCGCCCCTGCTGTTCCTGCTGCTGCTGCAGCTGCTGCTGGTGCTCTTGCCATCTCAGCGCGCACCTGTGCCGTAGCAGCTGTGTGTGTGCGCCTGGGCAGCATACGCAGCCGGCAGGCACTGAGCAAGCTTGACCTTGCAGTATGCGCTGTTAGCTTCCAAAGTCTGGTACGTTTGTGTTGTACATCAGGCGGGTCGGATGTGATGAATAGCATCAGCGTTGGCAGGAGTGCAGCATATTGTCCCCTCATTGCACTTCCCCTTGCTGCATGGCCTCCAGCACCCCGTCAACCCCGCCATCAAATTTGCCAACCAAGGGCCCCCGGCAGGCGGCGGTTGCGGGCTGCCACGGGGGCAGATGCCTGCGAATGGGGAGCGCCACTTCCTCCCCACGGTTGCGTACAACCCCCCATGGTTGCATGCCAGCAGCATGTGCTGCTTTCTTCCACCAGTAAGTCATAGTGATGGGGCGGCCCCTGAGCAGATGCTGCATGTTGCTGTCTCTGCATCCGCGCAGTCAGTCAGCTGCGAGCCACGTGCATGCTTGTAGCGGCTCTGGCTGAACGTGTGAGCAACACTATGACGATATTGTGGGGCGCGACGGCCTCTGCACGATGTCACCAGCTCCATTCGGGACAGAAATGTCTTGGTGATTGTCACCAGCAAGGGCGCAACAGAAACGTTGCAAGGGCCGCGTTCCTTGCACAGCATCGTTGCCAGTGATTAGAAGTGCACCTTGTGCCCATCAACAATCAAGGTTTCAAAGGCCACGTCTTGAGTGAGTTGTCGGCTGCAGGCGTCCCGCTCGCGCCGTCGCAGCACGTCGCTAACGAGCCATCTGCATGGTTGCCCGCCTGCGACACCGGCGCAATGCCGGTCAGCCGTGTACCGGCACTCAACTCACACAACACGTAACCCCTCGTGCGCGGCCGCGCACCAGCGACGGTGTCGCAAAATTCCATGCGACGTCTGAAGCTGCCAGCTGGTCACGTGTCAGCCTGGGAGGCGTTCCTGACTCAGCTTTAGACAAAGTGGATCACCAAGGGTAGTGACCAGGATGACGGACTGCCCATTGGTGGTTTGCATGTCATTTCCAGAGCAGGCCAAGCCTCGAATGGGGGAGGCCTAGCAAACAAGACTGCGGGGCGCAAGAGCGCAAAGTGTATCGCAAGCTGTGCCAAACAAACGCTGCAACTTTGCCATGCTGCCGTGCACGGGACACCTGCACTAGCCTCTACACGCTCCGTCCCCACACCGCACCCTAGATGAGATCGATTGCTGGCCTTTAAAATTTTACATCAAATCGTGCCCCTCACGGCATCTGAGGTTGAGCCTTGGAGTTTTCTTCCGTGGGCTGCTTGAGGCTTTTGGTGCTGGGCAGCCTTTCAAAGTATTAGTGCTGGGGCAAGTGGAATGCCAGGGGAGCTGCTGAACTTCCTCTGGGGCCGGTCACAGGGATGCGCAGGGACGGCCAGCCCTCAGGGGGTGCATGTGCATGGGATTGGCAAGGCACGGCACCATGTGCGCAACCCAGGAGCAAGCCATGGCGACGTCGCAAGCAGCGCACCTGCAACCCCCACTACATCTCATCCGCACCGTCCACCCCACCCAGTCCAGCTGGACCTCTGGACACAGTCCGCCGGCCGTAAGAAGCGAGTGCGTGCCCACTGAAGCTGGCTGTGAGGGCGCCGAGACAGCTGAGCGGACCAACGAATGGGGCTCGAGTGGGAAATACCACTGGCTTGGGCCAGCAGAGCGGCGCCGCGTGCCTGAGGGCATTCGTGGATCTAGCACCGCCGGCCGGCCGAGCTATTGTGCTGCAATCAAGACGCGCGCGCGCGCGGCGCGCGCCCTGCTGCTCCCACCATGGTGGCGCCCCACGCCCGGCGCACGCCTCGGGTGACCACCCATCACTCACCACCCCTGCGGCCACAGCAAAGGTGGGACGGCGGCAGGTAAAACCCAAACTGTGCATTGGTACTTCAAGCTGCGAATTCTCGGATATCTCGCGTTGTCACCCGACACGGACACAATCCCGTCGATCATCGAGATGACCAGCCGCGCAGGTGGGATAACAGCGATAAAGCTGGGGTGCAAGCAGCTGGTGCTTTTCCTACAATGCATACGATTTACCTGAGAGCAGTGGCTTGGGGCCGTCCGGCTGGGATGTGCAAGCCGCGGCGGCTGGCAGGCGGCCGGGTGGGTGCTTGAGAGGAGGTACAGACCCTGCATATGCAGGGTCAGCTGATCAGGCCTCCCATCCCAAATTTCATATCTTATTGCCTGCTATCTGCTTTCTGCGCCGCGACGCAGCGATCATTCTGGCGCTGGCCGTTATGGCCGTGGGCGCGGCCACAGCCCAGGTGCTGGAGAACACCACTGGGAAGCGTATGGACATCGCGCCCGGCTACACCTTTGTCAGCAACGTGGCTGGTGCGAAGAGGCCGTTTGTGGCAGCGCGGACGACTTTGTCTTGTTTGAGGATTATTGTTGTTCCCCAATGGACCACGTCTGTCCTATGGTACAACCAAGACTGAATATGCACATGCCACTCGTGCCTGCATGATCCAACATGGCACAGAAACCCTGCTGATCTGTGCGTTGTGCCGTAACACTGCTTTTGGGTCTCACAACCACCAGGATACCTGAGGGTCAGCAACGATGTTTGCGAGGTCAACGCTCTGCTCAACACCGCCACCCCCAACTTTGCCGCCGCCAAGGTGCGCACCCAATGCTGCCATGCAATCAGCGCACTTCCCGCCGCCAGCGGGCCGGCAGGCGCCGCCAGGTGGCCCTGCTGCTGCTTCCGCGCTGCCCCCTGGATGCTGGGCGGGTGACAGGGTTGCTCGCGCCTCGCTTTCAAGGCGCACTTCCCCCGCATTTCATCAAGCAATACTTGCTGTTCGCGCGAGTACTGCTTGCAGAAGCTGTACACCGACGGCAAGAACAGTAAGAAGAGCAGCGGGGCCATCCGCACCCTTGAGAGCATGGCCACCGGTGACTACTCCGGCGGCCTGTTCTGGGACACCGCCGTCAAGCACTTCAAGAGCCCGCTGTTCATCGACGAGATTGTGAGTCCCGCGGCGGCCGCGCCAGCCGTTCCAGGGCTCCCAGGGCTCTTTTCATTGGCGGGGCGGGGCCGGCGCAGCAAGGGGCCTCTATGCGTACCCCATGCCTCTCTTGAACCAGAACACATCACCGCCTGGCATGGGTGCCCGCACGATGCTCGTGATCGGCGCCCTCTGCGCACAGGCGCTTCTGACAGCGCTCGAGGGTCCCTGGCATTGATTGTCCTGCTCACCGCTGACCCAGCCGCCGACCCAATCGCATCGCGTGGCGATCCTCTTCAGATCAACAAGGCCCTGAGCGGCGCCGCGCCCTTCACGTCCCCGCTGGTACGCCGCGAGCTGGCCATGAAGGCCATCAGCAGCAACCTGATGGTGAGCCGACTAGACATCCATAGGGGGTTGCATGGCGCTCAGATTGATGCCTGCAGGCGCCGCGGCAGCCTCACAGCCCTTGATGGTGGGAGGGCGGTCGATGGAGGTGCGCAAAGTACACAGAGGGTCGCAGAATTGTCGCCATCAGCGAGCTGCACGTCGGCGCGACTGGCTCAGGCCGGGAAACTGTGTTGCATCCAGTTGAATTGCGGTTGCGTGAGCATGGCTTCAAGAACAGCGTTTAGGCTGCACCAGATCCGGGTGCCACCACCCCAAGCTGCTGGCTGGCGCTGCAATAAACTTGTTGGCCTCGCAACGTCACACAAGCTGCTTGGTCGCCCCTGCACGCCACCTCACCAAGCATGCGCCCTCACAAAATCGGTGTCTCCGCCTCCATTCGAACCTTTGCCAGACCGCTTACACTATGCACGAGATGGACGAGGCTGCGGCGAAGCTCAAGTGAGCCTGCAATCTGGGCAGGTGGCAGGGGGGATGGCGACTTTATGCACAGACCGGTTTTGTTCCCAGAAGCAACTGCAGCAGCCTCATGCTTGAGACAGACCAGTGAGACCCCCGCAGGGGGGGGCGCTGTCCCCAACAGCTGCCGCCACGGGCGGCGCGCTCGGCCACCATGTGCCAGGCCCACAGCCCTGAGCACAGCAGGGCGCCCTCGATCCCTCACAACGCGCGGCAACCCTAATCACCCCCACAACGCCCGCGCTCAACGTCCTGCCAAGCAGCCCACTGCGCCGCCGCTGTGTGCCACGCTGTCCGCCTCGGCATCCTCCCACCGAATCACATCACATCCCTCGCACGCGCCCTTCAGCCTGACACTCTCCTCCCCGCGGTCCCCGCTTCTTTGCCCATTGCTTTCGGTGCGCAGGGAGAGCCCTCCGGCAATCTCTGATGCCAGCGGCGCGCCCCACAACGTGGACGAGGCCGTCGCCCTCTACATCGGCGAGAAGAGCGAGTGCTCCCCGTGAGTGCCGGGCGGTACAATGGCAAAGGGAGGGCCCTCGCGCTTCTTGCCCCCACCCGTGTCAGTTGCGACGGTGGGAACGTGGCTGCTCAGTCCGTGTGTTAGTCCTTACTGACAAATGGTATGTTCACACTGCCACAATCAAACTCTCCTACAATATGCGTCCCTTAGCTCAGCCAGTTGCAGCTGTTGTCTCCCCGCTCGCCTTGCCCTGCCCAGTGAGCGCCGCCGTCCAGCCTCTCATCACACACCACCCCTTGAACCTGCGCCCGGACGCCGCAGGTGGGGCATCTCCAACAAGCGGGCCGCCATTTTCGGCACCCAGGACACTTGCAAGTCCAGCAAGGCAAACACTGAGTTTGTGAAGGCCGCCAACGCCGCGCTGGCCGCGGCCCGCAAGGGGGACATCAAGGCGTTCACGGCTGCGCGCAGCAGGGTGCAGGCGGCTTTCGCCATCACCGCTGTCCAAGTGGGCGAGGCAGCGCAGGCGGGACGTGTTTGCTCTCGCAAGCTGGGCTGATTTGAGTGGTTGTTCTGGGTCTTATGCTGTCAGATTGACGTCTACCACACATGATGTGCGGTCCAGCTTTTGGCACAGCATGCATTTGCCCTTAGCAAGAATCCTGCAGTCCAACCTGAGCCTGCCGAGCTGCCAGCTCGGCAGTGCCCCTGTTTTATGGTCCTTGCACTCCCCCCTCATTCGTCCCCTTTCACCACCATCAACCCAACCTGATACCCACCACATGACAGCGTTGTGCAATAACCTCTCACCAGAGTGCCTCCCACTACATACCCGCGCCCCCACCCCAGGCCACCATCCAGTATGCCGAGGAGATGGAGGCGGCGCGCGTTGCCAAGAAGCCCACCGATGATCTCCAGGTGCGTCACACACAGCCCAGCTTGACAAAGGGTGCAAAACGCTTGCGGGCAGGGGGCCGTGTGTTGTGCTCTCTCCATTGGAGGTGTGCGGCCGGACTCTGATTGAACCCCTGATGTTGTTTACCTGCAAGGGCAGTTGTTGTTCGTCAGTTTTTGATGGCAGCACGTGTGCACTTGGCCTGGGCAATGGCACACAGGGCACCTTCCACCTCCTCCACACCTATACCTACCCAAACAACCCACAACATCGTACCTCCATTCATCCTCTAAAGGCTTGCCTCCCACCAACCTTCCCCTCCCTCCCCCC